GGAGTTGGTGGTTACAAATTCCTCATGGTGGGTTGCTATCGACTACCACGACTAGCTGGCATGAAGGGCGAGGACATCTCTTTGGAAGAGGACAAACCCGCACCTGAGCCGCGAGCTCCTGATGAAGGGGGTGATTGGCTTTCGGAAGAGGACGAGGGCGGTGGTGTTGGTAAGGTTGAAGACGGCGACGTTGTCGAGGATCATCGTGAAGCTCCGGAAGAACCTGAGGCAGATGATCAGGAGGAGGCTGAAATCGAGGCGATGAAGGAGTTGGCGGAACCTTTGGAGTTTATGAACTTGTACATGACGAGACCCCTGAAGACGAGGAAGAAGGCCGAGGCCCTGCGTGTTATTCAGGAGTTCTACATTCAGCTCCGCTCCTCCGGGTTCCCCCTGAACCGACTTCATATGGATAGAGCCAGAGAATTTCAGTCTGCTGCTTTGGAGACCTGGGCGGCTTCGCGGGATATCGAACTTACTCGAACCCAGGGAGATGACCCGTTGCAGAACGGAGCTGCGGAAAGGGCAGTGGGTTATATCAAGAGCCGGATGCGAGTTCTTTTGGCCCAGGCGCGTGATTTGTCCAAAGCGGATGAGGAGGCCGTGAAGTCCTGGTGGCCTTTTGCCGCAGACACCGCGGCAGCACAGCAGCAGTCTATGACAATGGCACGGAAGAGCTCTTCGGCGGCCCGATTTGGATCACGTGTTTTTACAAAGCGTAAGGGCTACGGTTCGGCGGGAAGGACCGACTTGCTGCCTAAGTGGATGCCTGCAATCTACCTGGGACCAGCACGTACTGTACCTCACGGGCATCTTGTTCTTACAGATGAAGGAAATCTGTGGTTTACGACTAATATACGTCAGTTTGCTGATGGACCGGAAGAGAAACATGATGAAGGTGCGGAGCCAGTACCAGATCCCCCACCAAGGCGAGTTCGGGGAAAATCGTCTATAGGGGACCACGGAGGGCTTCCGGGATTGAGCGCACTTGTGGCTATGGGGAACTCAGGCGATGATCACGATGCAGATGATGAATCATGGTGTGTGGTGTCAGATGCATCGGGTTCCCGGAGTGCCAGCTCAGCTTCTGGTGGCCGCAGAGCGGCCAAGGTCGTTTTCTCCGAAACGGCCAAATCCTTTGTGAAGGAGCGGAAGTTCGCCATGGAGGACTGTCTAAGGGTTCTTCAATCTACTGAGTTTCTAAAGACTCAGAAGCAGCGAGCGAGTGCCTGGAGCAGCAACGATCCGCCCTCGGTGCATACGACGTTGGGAGCCTTCCAAAGGGGGCC